GGGGTCTACAAAAGAACAATCCTTAGCCCTAGAGTCAACAAATCCTTAGCCCTAGAGTCAACAATAGCCTTGCAAATCATCTTATAATCTGTAAGCTGTCGCTTGAATCAGATAGCACATAATATATCATATCACATCACTCGTTGCGTTGTACCGGGCTGTTCGGCTGATGGTTAAGCCGGTTGATGCTGTTTTGTTGTGAGAGAAAAACACTGTACCATGGCTGATAAGCCGAGTTAATAAGTTCAGGCAGGTGAACTGGTGAAATTGTCACATGGCTTACAATCTTTTTCTATGTTTATTTAGGTGTATGTATTTGGTTCAGTAGGTGAGGTTGAATAGCAAATGATAGTGAGACAATGAGAGCCCAACTTTTTTGAGGTGCATGGGTTGAAGGCATGGTTCATAGAACGGACCAGCTAATATTGCTAGATGCTCAACAAGTTCGTCCACTTTTACTAACCTTGACTATAAATAAATAAGCGGTGATAACTAATGCTATTCTAATGTGTTGTTGATTAATAATTACTATACCCAAACACAAAATTGAGTCATTCCATCCACCCACCATATATTCGCCTGTTCCACCCAACAATCAACATTGTTCTAAAACAAAATATTCACCTAGTATAAATTTCTCCTAACCAAAATAAAAATACTTTAAGCTTCTGCCACGCAATAGTTGTGGACAACAAACTCAAACGTCTGAAAATAAAAGGAAAAAAACTTTCGATCGCCTCAACTTTCGTGGTTGTCCAATTGACCCTCTATACAAACCTTTTTTTTCTGAAACTATAAAAAAAACTAATTTTGGTCCTTCTTAGTTTAAAAGGTTTGTTTTTGCGTCTTGGGCAAAGACAATTTTTTTTTCTAACTAGCTCCATGTTAGCCGCGAGATGGGTAAATCTGACTATGGTGATAGTTCAAGGATAAATCATATTAAAAAAATTGGATAATTTTTTGGAAAAATCTTGAAATCTAGATTAATATTAAAAAATACAAAAAAATCATTTTAGCTCAAAAAAAAATATGAAACCAGCTTAAGATCTTTCCTGAAATCATGTTCTACCTTATGATGCCTAGCTTGGAATTATCTTAATCTTCTATAGACTCCTTTTGTTGGTTATTTGCTAGTAGATTCTTTTCGTTATCAATTACAACTAGTCAACGAGGATGACTTGGACTATGTAAAAGTTCCAAGTGGCTTTGACAACAACAGGATTGTAATATAACCACCTCATGATTGATCCTATTTGGCATAAACACAACTGACACTTGATCATGTTAGCGTCATGATCCTGTGATGATCATGTTAACGTAGAAAGGATGGAGTGCTGTTGTCAAAATCACTTTTCTTCTACATAGTCGTCGTTAATATCAACTAATTATGATAGATAAGCAGAGCATTTATTAGTAAAATAAACACAAAAATGGGACTATAACAGGCTAAACTAACTCATCACTATGTTCGAGAAGATAAGAATGGTTTTAACTCAGAATTTTTTACATAAACCAAATTTTCTATAATTTTTCTAAGGTGAAACTAGACTTTAGGATTTTTAATTGCATAATTTGTATAAAAATATCAGGATGATATTCTAAAAAGCAATTGTAGTTTGATTTGATGTAACACCCTAAAATTTGCATGATTTTAAAATAGGAGAAAATTGTTTAGTTATGCATTTTGTGAGCATTTAAAATTTAGGAAAATAATGACTTTGTTAAAATTAAAATCAAATATAGGTCTACATACATGTATGTGCATACATGTTGCTGCATATTATTTTTGTATTGTGTGATTTGAAATCAGATTCCAAATTGATTTGAATTTGCATTCAAAATTTGTTTGGAAATTTGTTTAGGAAATAGAAAAGAATTTTCTTCTCCCTCCTTTGCTTTTAGCCTGCTGGCCCGCTTCTCCACGCTGGCCCAGTCTCGTCCGTGTGCCCCACTTCTCCCGCAGCGGCCCAACCAGCTTGGCCCAGTCCAACCGAGTCCGCGCTGCGCTCCTCCTTCCTCTCTCTCACTGACAGCGGGGACCGCCCTGTCAGAGTCTTCGTCTTTAGCTCGTGTTCGAGCAGGACACCGCGCCGCCATGACCGTGTCCGCCTCCGCTACGAGCCCTCGCGGTGGCGTGCTCCCTACTCCGCGCGGCTCATAAATACCGAGCTTGCACCGCCGCCTCCTCGTCCAGCTTTGGAAGCAAGCCACAGCCGTTCTGTGCCCTAGCGCCGCCGTCTGAGTCGCTGAGGAGAAGTTCATCGCCATCGTGTCGATTAGCCGAGCCATCTTCAAGGTAAGCTCATCTACGAGCTTCGCGTGGACTTCGCGACTACGCCAAACCCCTTTAATCTCTCTTTCTCCCTCTGTTATGGCTTTCCCCGCGCTGCAGTCGTTTCATACCCGCCATAGCTCGCTGCCCGCAGCCTCTTCTCGATTTTAGTTGCAATTGATCGCCCAGATGAGTTCGCCGCGCCTCCCGCTTGCTCCCCGTCCTTTTCCTGTGTCATATGGGGGTCGGATTTGCCCAAACCGACAACGCTGGCGAGTTTCTCGTCGCTGTCCATGGAGGACCGCCGCGTCGGCCCTGTTCCGGCCAATCAATTCTCTCTCCCCCATCCAATTCAATCCATGTCGCTCAATCCTAATCCAACGGCCGGTATCGTCCGATACCCCTTCACCGGTCGATTTTGCAAAAAGGCCATTACAACTATTTAGATCTCAAACCGCCGTCCTTGTATTTTTTCTAAAGAGCCCCTCGGGTTTTTGTTATAGAACCCGCAGTCCAAAGTACAAATCCAGAATATATTTTCTTCTTTAGAAAGCGTAGTTTCCTTCGGATTAGATTCAAAATACGTTTTCATCTATTTATAGTTTTGCCACTAATCTTATTTTAGCCATAAAATCTCCGTTTTAACTCTGATTTGATCCGTTCAACTTGCGTTAGGTTCGTAATTCCATAATCTACATGTTTATATTACTGTTAGGTATGTTTTCAACTTTTAAAATTCGAGGTTAGATTTAATTTATTATTTGACTCAAGGAAATCTTGTTTAATTCATAACTTCTTCGTTTTAGATTTGATTTTTGTGATCTTCGTGTTTGTGTGTTCGTAGTGAGACGTAGATTCATTTTACAAACTTTTCATCTTGATTTTATGCTGATTGGTGGACTGTTCTAATCTATAGATTTTATTTGCTATGCATGATTGCTTCTGGATGCTTTGTATGTTGCTGTGATTATCGAGTATAGACGGTGAGCAATTCGTGGGTGAACCAGAGTACTACTTTGATGAGCAGGATCAGCAGGAGTACTTTGTTCAAGGCAAGTATAGTATGGGATCATTCTTGTTTCCTATTCATCTTAATACATTTAATTCATGTTGCATGTGTCACCTTGATAGGGATTTCCTAGAATTGAACTTATACCTTGTCACCTATAGGATATGCATTGGGTAGCTTTGCTAGTGCTCAACTAAACTATGATCTTGTAACTTGACTAATGGTATATGCAACAAACATTAAAATATAACTTTTTAGTAACTTGAAAACATGGGACTGGAGTATTTAGCTACTTTCTAAATGCTTTAGATTACTCTCCCTAAGGACTTATCTGTAAGTGATCATCCAGGACTTATAGTACAGCTGTGAGGGCTATATGGCTCTGGCTTGAGCTCAGTATGAGGACCTTTATTGACGTAAGAATGGCTTGACGAATCAGGTATAGTGCGGCCTCTGTCCCCATGAGTATAGGCTGCGCGTCAATATGCCATCGGGAAGGGGGGCTCTACATCTGTTTGCCGAGTGAATCTAATGGCCCTAACTTGTTAGACGAACAATTGAAAAGCTTCACAGTGAACCGTCGACCTTCCTTGGTAGTGGGTCAAGAGGTTGGCCGTCTCGGACGAAAGGATAAATCATGACTCACAGTGAAAGTGTACAACCTCTGTAGAGTGTAAAACTGGTATATCAGCCATGCTCACGGTCACAAGCGGCATTGGAACCCTTATGGAATAGATGGTCACTAAGAATTATTGGTTTATGCTATTCATTATTCATGTTTACATCGATCATATGTTTTACTGGGATAAAAACAACTTTATGCTACTCTTATGCTAAAACTGTGACAATTAAAAGCTAAAAGTTGTTAAACCTGTGTCAAGTCTTTTGAGCCTCATGAACCCCATGTTACACTTGTTGAGTATGACACGTACTTACGCTTGTTTATTTTAATTATTTGGATAAAAATCCGGATGGATAACATATGGCTATGGTAATGACGACTTTTCTGAGGATTATAGACTTGTAGTCAATCAGTTGACGTCCCTGTAATATGGAGCTTCCGTGAGAGATTTTTTTTTATACTTCCACTATATTTATGTGAAGACTATGTCTTATTATTCGTGATGTAATAAATACTTGTGATAATACTATTTATAATTTATCGGTTTATGTGTGTGACTGATCATAAAATTATGCATTCCATTTTATCCTTAAAATCGGATGTGATATTTGACCCTTGAACTGTCAACATAGTTGGGTTTTCTCTCGAGGCCGCTAATGTGTAGCTACATTGGACAAAACCGTTGTTTAAACCACTATGGTAAAAACAGATGGTTTTAAAAGTTGAGAAATGACTAAAATCCAGTTTTTATAAATGATGCCGGAAAATCAAACACACGCAAAAGTCAAGGGGTCAAAAAAGAACTTTTTCCAAAATAAAAAGATTGTAACCCAGAAAATTCCCCATTTTGCAACGTATCCACCACAATATGTTTGGGCTGGATCTGAGACGAGACATTTGGTTTGGCCCGGTAAGTTAACTTTTCAGCCCAACTCCATCTACACCGCTGTCCCAGCTAAAAGGCCCAACTGAGAAAAGCAGAGTAGAACCGTTGCCTCCCTCGCCTGCATCCTAGTCCGGCTGCCGCATCCGGGCAGCTCCGGCTGTTCCCCGCCGCCGTCCTCCGTCTATCCCCGACTGCGCTAGGGCTCCATCTCATGGGGGCGTCCGAATCTCTCCTGTCTAGGCAGCAGCTGCAGCAGCCGCGGCCGCAGTGGGCCGATGAGATCACGACGGTGTCCGAGGGCCGGCGCGACGACGCCGACGCCGATCCCCTCGTCCGCCGCATCCGGTCTCTCACCATAGTAAGGCCTGAACTCTATTGTCTCCTGATTCTCCCTGCTGATGCCCATGCCGAGATGCTCTTCATACTAACGCTTTTGACTTCGGTTGGGGTTATGCTGTTGGGGATTTGTAGGCTCCGCCGCTATTGAGCTCTCAATCTGAAGCGGAGGCTGAGAGCAGCCTCACCGATATCCTCGTCCGGAAGCCCTCTATCTCCTCAGCCACCTCTGGTCAGTGGCTGCTAGCCAGGATTCTATTTTGGTTAGTTTGTGTATTACTATGCAGGCGAGATTCTGCATAGTGGTGTCTGGGAATGTATATAATTGACTAATTGGAAACACGCTGTACTCGAAATAGTATGCATAAAACATTGTTGCATTTCCATTGTTCTTGTTGAAGCTTACGGTGTCACATTAATTTGTCTGTAGGAAATCTGAACCCAAATGTCCTAGCTGAGCTTTTCTCTATGTACCGGGAATGGCAAGAAGAGAATGCCAAGAAAATTAGCCGAAAGCAGGTAGGTGGAATTCTTTCTTGTAAGAGCTCTCTCTATCAATTACTGAGGGGAGTCAATCAGGATATATGATATTGTGGTCCGAGTTACTAGTTTAAGGCCTACAGTATGCTATCCTATTGTTTTGAATATCAAAGCACATCGCTTCATTTTTTTGCAGTTATTCTCCCTGTTGATATTTTATCTTGATGGCAAGGCGAGTAATATAGATAAATCGCAGTGTCAGTTACCAAAGGCCTTTTGTTCTATGTGCTCTGTGTAACTGTGTTGCTTGTTCTGTTTGTCACCATATAAACATGATCTTGTGAATTAATGTGAAACTGGTTTTTGTGGTAGTAAATATCAACTTGGTGGGCTAAAACCAGTTGTTGTTTCAGTCTAGACGTTGCCTTCTGAGTTTAGTTGCATGAATTTTGGAAGAGATGATTTGGTATTCATTTTTATGAATAGTTGTCTTTTTTCCCCTCGAGTTTCCTTTTAGTTTCATTGTTTTGACCAATATTTGTCATAGCGTATTCCTGTCATTGTTGAACTGCAGTGCTTACAGTAGATATGCAGCTCTGCACTTAAAGTACAATGGAGAAATGAACTAATTAATTCTAAATGTTCGAGGTAAATATGCAAGCAGTGCTTGGATACTTGCTGAACATATGTCTCTGAAGTCTGACTTGGAGATTTACCATTGCTACCGTTAGAGTTTAGCAACTCCTTTGTTTTTGTTTGTCGGTTAGTTTAAGATAAGCAGCTCTAATATGGAACGTCTTGTTGCAGGGGGAGATAGAAAACAAGATGGAAACAGCTGATGCATTGGCAGTTAAGCTTCTCCAGCGGTTCAACTATTCTCTTACTTCCATGAGATCCACCTCCCACAATCTTTCTGAAGGTAATGATGCAATTTTCTTTCTTAAGTAGGTCCTCATCTGTAAAGAAGCCATCCATCACATAGTTGGGCATTTTAGCTTTAGCCCAATTGAGGCAAGCGAGCACAACTAGCGATGTTAGCTTGTGCCGCTTTTTGTACCTGTGCCGGATGGTTTAGAATACCATGGGAGTATCCGAATTACGTGCTGACATTCCCCTCTTCAATATCGCAGTTCATCCATTGCAGATCGAAGTTGGTGAGTTGAAGGGCAGGTTAACTGAAGTTATAAGCAACTGCGATGCACTGTGCAAGAGAATTGCTGCAGAAGGACCGGAAAGCCTACGATCATCTGTTCAACCTTTCATGCCTGCTAGAGTGGAGGCAGAAGGTAGCGGTTCACTTGACCCAAAACAAGAGTCCTGAATTGTACAATCTAACTGCTGACAGCATGTGCAATGAAACTTCAGGGGATAATTAGTAGGTCCTGAATAAATACAGTATACTTACTGTACATGTTTCTAGGTTGGTCAAATGTCTGAAATTCTGTCTGTCTTGTTGTAGGGTCTCAAGTCATGACCGTGTCTGTGCACAGCACCATCTCTGCGTGCGGTTTTAACATTAACATCAGGTGAAGCTCGGACTGTTTGAGCTCTGATTTGCACGTGTATGGCTCTAGAAAACCGTACTGCTGACCCCGGAACACAAAAACGATGCTTCGCTTGTTTTAATGTCAAATGTAGATTGTTTTTTGAAGTAGCCACTCCAAGTGGCAGCATAATAGTGTTTTTGTAGGACTTGACTACCTTATAGTGAGCGTGGACTCTGCAGGCGCGTTAACTGTTAACACAAGTAGCTTTCTTGTTCCGAAATGTGAACCCAAGCTGGAGCAGTGTTGCATTAGCTAGTCCGCCGCAGGGTCGCACGGCGTAGAACGGGCGCACGGAGCAAAGGCCGAACGCGCCGGCCGGGCCGCGTGATTCGTGCCCCAGCCGGCCGGCCGCGCGCGGCTCGGCGGCTGCCATGGTGGTCCGTGCCCAAGAGAGGTGCGGGTGCGTTATATTCAGCCTCGAAGTGTCCAACACCAATGTCGTCGACATCATGACAACGCTCGGCAACACGAAGACACGGCTATGACGCTGTTGCCATCCAAGCGCTAGAGATGGACGACGTGCCCAAAGCACGAAAAAACGATGGCCTGATGTCATATGCATGCACGGTCCAGAAGGTCATTGCAAAGCAGGAGCAAGAAAACCCACTCATATAATTAATGCACCAAGAGCACGACCAATGCAAGCATATAACTATAGTGGTCTCATTCAACAGATGAGCAAAATGCATTTGGGACAATATCCAAACTTCCAACAGGCGCATATGTGTTGGACCATAGTTTCTGACAAAAGTGCAACAACCCCTTTCTCCCCCTCTCACGAGCTAACATTCTCTCTCTTGAGCTACTGTCATTCTACAGGCTACTAACTTTTTCATCTCTTCCCTCCAGACATCTCCTATCTAATGTGGCACAATGAGACCACCACCCACGTTGGAGCGTTAGGGCTGGCCTAAGCGGCCATGAGCTCATGACCCAAAAGGGTTGCAATGCTCAACAACACCAAGTGAAAAGTTGGTGGATATTTTGGGAGACCGCCTCACTTTTAGCCTATCTCTGTTATCAAAAGTCTTGTCTCCTAAAATTGTTTTTGTGCTAGTGAAAAGGCCTCTCCGGCTAGCATCTTGGATAAACTTAACATCTGATATCTCCAGGAGACAATCGCTACTCTTAATTATGTTTTTTTTAAGAAATTGATCTTCAAGGCATATAACCGCTGTCCCAGGGCAGTGATTGACCAAACGCTCTCAATGTATTAGTATATTGAGAGCATCTCTGACAGTCTTTTTTGAACTCACTCTTTAAATCATCATTTAGAGAGTCGTTTAAATAAAATAGGTTTCTTTATCTTTCCACGCTCCAATAGGTTCTCTACATCTTTCACACACTTGGAGAGTGAGCCCCTCTCTCTATTTTTGGCTAGAAAGAAAATAGGAATAGAGAATGACAATATTTGAAGAAGTTGTTAGAGGACTTTCTTTACCAAAATCTCCATTCTTATTAATACAAAAGGATATAAAGAGGCGCTTGGAGTTGCTCTAAACACATCTTCAACCGAGCTTGGTGCAACATACACAGGGCTCTCTACGTGTCATGTAACCGAGTTAGGGGTGTGTTTGCATGGTAACAATTTGTTTGGCACATCTTAGACATGGTTTGACAAGAAAATGAAGCAATAACAGGTGGGATCAAAACTCAAAAGTATTGCAAGCCATAGTTGTGGTAGAGAAACAAGTATAGGGGTTGTTTGGTTCCTTTGCTAGACACTGTTGCACCTTGCCCAACGAGCATGGAGAGCCGGAGTGCATGTTTGGTTTCCTCACCTAACCACCTCGGGAACTGTGTGAGCGAGATTTCCCTCACTCGGTGAGATAGCCAAATTGGCTCGCTGGCTCGGGCAAGCTTCTCGCGGCTCAAGCCAACGCAGCAAGGCCAGGCGAGGCAAAACCGGCACAGCCCCTATCTCTACGATCAGAAATGCTTGCCCCATCAGCACCACTTATCATCAACAGTACAAACCAACAAGCAGCAACAGCTGCATTCATTGATGCGGAAATGCAGCCGAGCAGGACCTTATGATGCACATAAACTACGGTGTGGCAATGGCCAAGGCCATGCGTGAACAGAACTAAGCTGAAAAACGGCCACAACCCCCAACGATACCGATACATGCATGCAGGGTTTGAAGGCCAACGCCACTGTGCCCGTCACGTTCGCGCACTGCCGCAACACCAACAGCATCCAGTTGCCGCCTGTATCAAGCAACCAACGGCCTTCGCAGCCTATTGAAGCATCTAGAATCGGGTCACTTGACACTTCTACAATTTGGTTTTCATATGGGTTGAGCTAGCTATATGTCCTATGGGGTTTTTACTTATTAAGTCTTAATCATAACTGATCCATCAGAAATTAACTTAACGAGAATTACATATGCAAAATGCTGCAAACCTGTAACACTAAGGAGGTACACTGTTTGCTGTCCATGACATGTAAAGTTTCTCGGCGGTACAGTATTTAATGCAGTAGCAGGTGTGTCTTCCTTGATCTTCAGTTCAGTCAAATATCCTTCATATTTATAGGCTACTAAGCTGCGGCATGCAGGTTGCAGGCGCACACTGCAATACAGCATGGTAGCGTGGCTTAATCAATTGTGCCAGAGGCCATGATGAGGCCCATGATCCGGCCGGGCATAGAACATCGCCGGCGTTGCTCCCACGAGGCGTGCGTCGACGAAGAGCGCGGCGGCGTTCGCCGGCGCCGGGTGGAACCCATCCATGACCGCGAACTGCATCTCCTCCGACGGCTTCCAGTGCCGCTTCCGCTGGTTGATGAACCAGTAGTTGATCTGCTTCTGCTCCAGCCCCGTCGACTCCGCCAGTGAGATCTTCTCCATTTCCTGCACATGCATGCATGCAACAATGGCGCGGCACCGCGGTACCGTCGCTCCATCATCCATCTCACCCCCATATATGTATGTGCACACGAGTAGTATATAGCGTGGCTCGGAATTTCCATGCATGCATGCAACCATTTAGCTATATATGTGTGCCTGTGTAATTGCGTATGCGTACCGAGGGGTAGGGCCATCCATAGTGCAGCTCCCACCAGCTGAGCAGCTTCTGCCGGGCCTCCTTGGGGAGCTTGCCTTTCTTCCTCTTCTTGGACAGCTCCTTTCTCAGGTTGCCCAAACACCCGCTGTATTTCCTGAGGAGCTGCTTCTTGAGCTCCTTGTCATCGGAGCAAGGGTCGATGCCGAGGGCTGCTTCTGCCTCCATGCCGCCGCTGCCTTCTTCTTGGTCATCGTCGGACATATCTACTCCAGTCTCATCTTCTGGTACAGCCAAATGTTAAATGGCATTTACTTAGGTTTAGGCCTCACATGTACAATAATCAACGGCACTGGTGGAATGATTACAGTGGCATTAATGCATCAATGAGCGAATTAACACAAACACTAAGAACAGTGGCACAAATGTTTACATCAGTCTTTTTTGCCTATGGCTCACAGAGAACTATTGAGGAGAGAATAGAGATACAAGTTGACTATCCCTAGCTCTAGTTAATTACAACCCCCCAAAAAAAAAGTCACTTTGACTTTTCTGGTACATAGTTGTTGCTATGTATCTTTGTTCCCCAAAAAAAGTTTTTGCTATATATCTAGACATACGTTATATCTAGATACATAGCAAAATTGATGTACTAAAAAAGTCAAAACGAATTACAATTTGAAACGGATCGCGAGGGATAGTACATACTCTATTCACATGTCACATCTCCCAACATGGATCTAAATAAACTTCATGACTTGAACCCATAGAAAATTAGGAGAACTAGCAGTATGTAGTTTAGGTCATTGGACATGTCATCTAATATCAATCTATTGTGCTATCTATTAGTGACATGTATATTTCTTACAGATAATACTATAATATTAAGTAACTACGCTATTGGGGATGCTCCCCATGGTAGTGCCTAACGAGCATTACAAACACGCACACGTGTATATATAATTATATATAGCTTGTATAGTAGACTTGTTGGCTAGGTCTTAAGGGCATGCATTTGGCACATTATATTTAAGATTAGGCAGAAACAATTTCACCTTGCCTATAAGAACTCTGTCTGGTCCACCTGTCATGGAAACATTTTTTTTGCCAAATTTTTCCTAAGGTTAGAAACATTTGGCACAAAAGTGTGGCAAGACTAACCTTTGGTAAAGTTTTATGCCGAACTTAATTAGTTATCACAAACCAAACATGCCTAGTCAGACACCAGCACATCAACTTGATCTCTTTGTAACTGGCCTTCTGTAGAATGCATGATACAAACGACTACACTGCAGATGCTCAGTCAAGTTTAGTCCGTAATACTTTCCAATAAATTGCTTAGAATATCGTTCTTTACTATACACAAAAAGCCCCTCCCATCAATAAGTTCACCACAAGAGTAGCTTGCTTCTTTCTCAGGTGCCGAGTTAAAATGGAGGCATATATAGGTGTTATGTTGAACTCTGAAACCTTTTTGGAAAATAAAACGTTATTAGAAGTAATATACTCCTAGTTAGACTTGTAAGAATCATTGGCACATATGCATTAATTAATTTGAATATACTAATTTCCTTGTTTATGGGATATCCTAAGTTGGAAGATCAGCTTACATGGTTATGTTTTTAACAATACTAGAAGAACCCCCACGTGTTGCCGCGAGACCTTAAAAATAAGATGTTGCATGTATGGGATAGACCTACGTGTTATTGCATCGGATTTGGTCAAAACTAGGCAAGCTAATAGAAAAATCTAATAGATATTATAGTGAATTGTAGGAGGATGGGATGGCCAAACAAATATAGTATGGTGTGGATGCCTTATATGTTGACAGATTGAAAATAGTACATATATTTATGGGGGATGATGTGGCACTTAGTGAGAAATGATGTGGATTGCTTCCATCGGGCAGGGACAAATGTAGCATTGTTTATCTGTTATAAATTTTTTTTTTAAAAATCTATGTTATGTAATGAAGTTAACCTTGATGATCCCGATTATCTTTTTGGCTAGAATTGCCCCTGGGGAAAAGTAACTGTACTTAGTGGGAGGATGTTGTGATACTTAATAAGATTGAAAAATGGGTTTGCTTTTATACATATATAGATATAGATTCCAACAAGAGGTCCCAACAATCCAGCCTGCATTATTGCCATGTACCGAGGCTGATTTTACACTAAACAAGCTAAGCAATACAGACAAGTTATTTTATATTATTTATGTATATAGTACAACTGTAATTGATAAAAAATGAAATCAGAATAAAGGTCCTTTGTTACTTATATAACCATGTTAGTGCTTCGTTGTTTCCCATTCAAATTTCAAAAATATTATTATGCACCTAGTAATCGCCCTACATGACTATAGATTTGTTAACATGTCAAATAACAGTGGGACAAGAGACGCTGAGATCTTGTATGTTGAGCCTTAATGCCCAGCACACACTTGTAAAACAAAGAAAAGTTGGAGTCTCTAGAACATAGAACATCTAAAATATAGGAATAGTAAAAAAATCAGGATTTGAGAGTTACATGTCATTCGTAGTCTTTACAAAGATTTGGATACAGCAGAGGAATTGCAAACGCATGAAAGTTTCAAATAAAGAATTTGAATATAGAACAGGAGAAACACATGAATTAGAAAGAGAAGACATAAATATAAAGGAAATTTTCAAGAGATTGGGCCTCATGTTAGATTTCCTCTAAAATTCCAATTGATAGCTATTCCTTAAGAATTTTGTAGAATTTTAGGATGGCGGATCCTTTGTTCAAAAGGGTCACATATGGGGAAAAAATCCTATATGTCATCTCTCTCTTTAGTTTTTGATGATGCACTTGTTTCATTATTCTATCTGATGACCAAGGTCATCAAATTAATTAGATGATTTTATGCTAACTATCTAGCGAAGATAAAAATCCACCGGTTGCATGAGCTGCTCTTTTGACCTTTTTAAGAGGGAAGAACAGTTATTTGGACACTCAAGTTAAATAGCACTACTGTCAAGTCCCAGTAACAATCCAAGCACAGGATTTGCCCCAAAGGGCAGCCTGCTTCTTCACGTTTATAATCAGAAAAAAAGCAAAACTTTAACGTCAGGACCAGTATATGAAACCAGACATGTGCGCAAGACTATACATAGCCTATATATAGCTAGCATGTAGACTAGTGATGCCCTGTTCATCAACTTTGGTACGCTAGGAAGTACTCCTCCGTCCGAATTACTCCGAAAAATAAAAATCTCATTTCTGGAGAAATCAAACTCTAAAATTTAACTATCTTTTAAAAAAATATTGATATTCGTACCTTTAAAAATATATTTATTATAAAATAAATTTCATTATTTGTATAATGATACTGATTACGGAACATACTCCTCCGTCTCAAAATAACTATCGTTGATGGTGTGTATGCTACAAATTTTACTCGATTTGTAGAAAATATGTGCAATATTTGTATCTCTAAATAAATTTATTAAAAAAATAGATTTAAAGACCTTTCCAATGATACTAATTATGTACCATAAATATTAATATTTTTTAATATATATTTAGTCAAATTATTTCTCGGGAAACGAAATAATAGATATTTAGGGACGGAGAGAGTATGTGTTAGTACTTTTATATATGTTAAATCAAACATAAGATTATTTTCATTTTGAATGGAAGGAGTAGTACTGCTGCACCCTAAGAGATTGGTAGGAGTAAATAGCAAATGCTGCCTCCATCTCGAGAAGAATACCATTGTAGCTTTGCACTAAGTTAAACTAGAAAACACTGTCAACATTTGTATCTCTAAATAGATTTATTATAAAAAAATATATTCTAGTATTCATAGAAATCATCTAATTTGGTTAAATTTAAGATTTATGTACTCAAAAAATGAGAATGATTTTTTTTTTTTGCGTGAGGGAGTACTCCAAGATATAGTGTCACATAGACCTAGGCAACAGATTGACACATACGTACTCCATTCTGATCGTTACGGGAGCGTCTTGACCTTTTTTCTTTTTGAACTCGGGAGCGTCGTGACTAAGAGAAACGCATCCGGTTCGTTTGGGCTTCTTTGGTTTATGAGTCGTATTTTTTCCGTCAATGAATAGTATTTTTCTCTCACACTAAGTCAATCAATAGTATTTTCAGTCATTGTTTATTAGCCAAACAAGCACAAACAAATATGGCGTATGTTAGTGGTCATGTTCTGCAACGCTACTTCAGCAGTATTTTTCAGCAAACACTGTTACAGCAAATCAAATATAAATATTAGCATAAGCTAAATTTAAACAAAATAAACAGGGTTTTAGCGAAACGAACAGGACCGCCCGTATATACTTTGTACCAGGTGTATCGCTTTGTTAGCGATATGAAAAAAAAAACTTTGTGCTAGCTACCTAGCTAGGCATGTACTAGTACTAGTCGTCACAAGAACAAAAACTCTGACAATCTATTCGCTTCATGAAAAGAAAAGGAAAATCTGTTGGCGGATGCTTTGCCTAGTGTGTGAGGGCCAAATTCTTCGCGGATGCTTCGTTGCCGTCGTCGCTTGGTCCTCGCCGCCGGTGGATGCTTTGCCATCGTGGCTACTGTTCGTTATTCCTTCTCTCGGTGGATGCTTTGCTACCTAGGCTTTGTTTATCTTGCAGGCAACTTTTGCGTTGTTTCTTTATTTACAAGCTCAGTTGTAGGTCTTGATGTCAAGGGCAGTCGATCTCTTTTCTTTTCTTCTTTCTATCAGCATATTCGCTTGGTCGTGTTTGACTTATAAGCCATGACTTATCAGCTAATGAACAGTATTTTTTTCTCATACCAAATCAGTCAACGGTACTTTCAGTCATTGCTTATCAGTCAAAGAAGCTTAAACAAACGGGGTATATGTGCATTCCAGATCACTGACCACTAGCTTAGTAGTTTGTAATCTGTGCTACGAGGGTTCTCTCGTAGCTGCGTCGTGTAATTACTCCTCTTAATAAAAAACGGGCTATATTCCCGATAAAAAAAAAGAAAAGGAAAATCTGTTAATCTACGGCTACTGTGGTGACTATTTTACTGAGATGACAAGGTAATTAATATGAACTTAACCGGTGAATGACTGATGGATTTAGACAGTTAACGGGTAGGCTGAAGGTTAATCATCACCTGCAGCTGGAGAGATGAGAGCTCCCATGGGTGACCCGGTGTTGGTAATGGAGTTGAGCTGCAACTCCACCGTCGTCAGGAACTCATTGGCCTCCCGGAGCGGCCGGGTCAGCTCGTCCTTCCGCGCAACAAGCAGCTCGCAGTAAGACTCCTGATGTCACAATACAAAACTTTCACAAATCAAACGCCAAACATATATTATATTTAACCGAATAACACTAGCTAGCTATTAGCTTCTTCAAGATCCCGGATCCTCATATGAGGCCATATGCATGATCCCAGGGACGACGAGAGTGTGTCATCTGTCTCATCGTGTACAAGCATGCATGCATGATGCATGTTTGGTACTCCACCATGAACTGGTCGAGCTCCGGGTCCGGCCTTGTATTGTGCGCGTCGCCCACGGCTGCACGCTGCCACGCCTCGCGCTCCCGAGCCGCCGCCGCGATCTCCTCGGCCGCTTCCGGCGGGCAGCCGACCTGAGTAACATGAACACATGCAACAGGAGTGAATACGAAGGACAGCAGCAGCACGATGCAACAGGAATGAACACGTGCACGCGCGTGAAAATTGAAGGGACATCGATCGGGTCGTGTGCCTTGTGGCAGTCCAAGAAGGCGGCGAGCAGGCGGTGGTAACGAGGGTGGGAGACGATCTTGGCCTTGATGGGGTCTAGATCAGCAGCGCGGCCGCCATGGCCACCGACGCTAGACGACGCATGGATCATTGGTGCAACACCTCCTTGAGCTCGGGCTGCTTCACCGCCGGCAGTTGAGCTGCTTGGGACGGTGTAGACTTGCACGGAGACTTTAGAAGAGGACGGAAGTGATGGCGCCGCGGGCCGCCTGGCAGCACCCAGGTGGCCGCGGTCTCCAAGATCCGAGAGATCCTCCATCGTCAGCTAGCTAGGTTTCGTGATCTGGGTAACGAAGACAGCTGGAGAAGAGAAGAAAAGGGCTAGCTAGCTAGCTAGCTAGGGCTAGCATGAGAGATTTTGCTTCGGCTTTGAGATCTTTTGCAGTACTACAGTATAGTAAAGAGGAATTTGGGGATAAATAATGAGAATAGGAGGGGAACAGGAACAGTGGAGACGGAAAGGAACATGAGGTCCACACTGTGGACGTGCGATTCGAGATGAGATCGCATAGAGCTAGCGTAGCTGCGTAGGGTAGGAGTGTGAAGTAGGAAAAGAAAGGAGAGGCGAGGTCTGGTGGCCGTCATGTCGGACGTCAAATCGGGCAAAAAGCCGGAGAGAGTAGCTAGTGGAGTTTTGACGGCGAGTGTTTTCATGGCGAAATGTGTGCTGGCTTACGCGTGCTGTCGACTTGAGCAGTGTATGCACGGGTGTGATTGCTGTGTTTTGGACGTGCTGACAGCGCCACGGCCTGTTTGGACCTTCAAAATGATTATTTGTAGCAGACTAGCAGTTGGATACGCTAGTCTTTCTCTGCTCCCTCTGTAGCTATAGCTATAGCTAGAATTATAAAAAATATTAATAATATTTATATCTCTTAATATTTATTAAAAAAATATAGTGCATAATAATAGCTATTATGCAGTATAAACATTAGTATTTTCTTATATATATAGTTGAACTAAAAAAGATTTGACTCATTGAAAAACAAGACGTACAGTTAGTTTGAAATAAAAGGGAGTACATGTTTTATTGTTTAGAGGTACGCTATCCCTTTGTAACCAGAGAGAATTCTTTATTTGACATTGGGAAAATAAGCAGTTTTTTTTTAGCCCTAAAATTTTCTTCGTTCCTTATTTGACACTCACTTCAACTTTTATCTCTAATTTGACACTACCATCAAATCCGTTAGCTAACGGTGTTAACTAGCTGTTAAAAAGACGTTTTTGCCCCTAGAAAAAAAAGCGGTGAAGCAAATTTGAGAGGAAAAAAAACCTGTGCCTTTTTTTTGTAACTGGGCGCATGCATCAGAGGCAGGCACAATTTTTTTCCTCTCAAATTTGCTTCGCCGCTTTTTTCTAGGGGCAAAAACGTCTTTTTAATAGCCAGTTAACACCGTTACCTAACGGATTTGACGGTAATGTCAAATTAGGGATGAAAGTTGAAGTGAGTGTTAAATAGGGAACGAAGAAAATTTTAGGATAAAAAAAGGAACGACTCATTTTTCCAGTGTCAAATAAGAAATTCTCTCTTGTAATAATTGTGATATGGTACATCCTTGTTACATGCTGTCTGTGAGATAAGAAATCTTCTAGTCTGTTCTTCTAAACCCGTGCGTTGCCGCGGAAACTACTGATTTGGAGTTAAATTTAACTATTTGTATAGTTCTTAGAAAGAGATTAACTATTATAAACTAATGTTAGTAGATAGCGTGGCACGCAGATGTGGACAACTAAATGCATGTTATTAGATGATGTGTCTCGCTGTGGATATCATAATTGCCTGTGCTAGTGAACTTTAATTATAAGTGATAGTGGACTGTTGAGGTGGACACCTTGCATGTCAAGAAAAATTGCTAGTGGGGTTTGACTTTATAAGAGTATAGGATTATAAGTCATTTTAATTTTTTTTGTTTACGTAGCTTTTGTTCTACATTTAGGTGCATAATAAAAGTTATGTACTTAAGAAAGCTAAAATAATTTGTAATTTGGAACGGAGGGAGTATTATTTAAAGAAAATACCTTGTGCTTTATCATACATGGTATAAAATCACTTTCAAAAAAATATAAGTTTTGTTTTCTCTTAAATCAAACTATCTAAACTTTGAGCAAGGGTCAACATTTATGATATCAGACAAATTCCATGATGAATCGAATAGTATTTATTTCATATCATAAGCATTGATGTTCTTTTTACAAACTTAGTCAATTTTAAAATAACTTATCTTAGAAGAAAGCTAAATTGTTTTTATGTGGAGAGACTACCATGCAGTGTGCAAGCCTATAAGATATTTGGGTTTTCCATGGTGTTTTTCTCGACTGAGTTTTACTATTAATTTGTTTATGTTTTATCTTCCATTTGTAGAAAATAAATCGTTCTAAATTATAGATTGTTATAGATTGTTTTGTATTGCGGTGTCTCTGGTTCTTTATTTTTTTTAAAAGAATAAAAGAGGTGAATAAAAGATACATATGGCCACGAGAATCAAACATAATGTTGTCTTTATATCTAGTCATGCTTCTTTCTCTCACTGAGATAAACAAAGAGCAACCCCCCTCCTCACTGATCTTCCTAGTAGAAATGATTGTCAATGACCTTGCAGATACTCCCTTCATCGTTTTTAACTACCGTTCTCACTTTCTTTATGAGAAGTCAAACGTATTCAATTTTGATTAAATATATACAAGAATATATTAATATGGGTAAAGTACACTTTACAATCCTGAACTTGCGCCAAAGTATGATTTTCAACCTTCAACTATGAAACCGGTCAAGAAACACCCTCAAACTATCAAAACCGGACAACTTTGGTCCTCGGCCGGTTTCAAAAGCGGTTTTCTATTTTCGGGAGGCGCCGAAATTTTAAATTATTTTTTTGAGCATCTTAACGTTCTCAAATGAAAAAACTCAAAACTACAAAGTTATAGATCTCATTGAGGTCTACAATTTACATATAAAATTATCTTCATCCGACATTTTATTTTTTCTATTTTTGAAATTTGAGTCTCATGCGCGAAAAATATGGTGCTGAAATTTTATATTATATTTTTTCGCGAGCATCTTACTGTCCTCAAATGAAAAAATTAAAACTATAAAGTTGTAGATCTCGGATGAGTTCTACAATTTACATATAAAAAATCTTCATGTAGAACATCGTATTGAGATTTACAAATGTGAGTTTTGAACAATTTTTCATTTGAGAACGTTAAGATGCTCAAAAAATAATTTAAAATTTCGCGCCCCCAAAAATATAAAAACCGCTTTTGAAACCGGCCGAGGACCAAAGTTGTCCGGTTTTGATAGTTGGAGGTGTTTCTTGACCGGTTTCATAGTTGAGGGTTGAAAATCATACTTTGGCGTAAGTTCAGGGTTGTAAAGTGTACTTAACCCTATTAATATTTATGGTATATAATTAACATCATTAGATATAGATCGTTAAAATCTATTTCATAATAACCTTAATGTAACATACAAATATTATTAATATTTTTTATAAACCTCAAACTTAAAATAATTTGATTAGCACAAATACTATATAATGACACTTAAAAAGAAACAGCAGACGGTAACCGATCCTATTCTACTATAGCAGCCCGTTCATATTTGGATACTTTGGTATATACTTTAACAGTAGTTCAACATATCTGCATTTCTGGTCAAAGGCCTCACTCAATAAAACCTATAGCGTAATGAGATATAGGGCTATGGCATAGGCCGCGTTTGTTTCCTCTATAGATTTTCTCAAACTTCCACGGTACGGCGTTCCACTCATCTATAAAAGTCGTTTATGCTGATTTGTATGGTTAAAAAAGAAAAATATTGTCCTATGATTAATAAGCTGGCTCGTTAGAGCAGCCGAACATAGCCTTAGATTTTCATCAGCTTGTGTGACATCCTATCAATCCATAACTGTTACGATCTAGTCCTTTTTAGCTATCGGTTCATAAAAGACGACCAAATTAGTCACTAAACATCGGGTAATAAAATTACCCACCACTAGTAACAGTTACCACGCTAGTAGACTTCAACACAGGTCATTCAAATCTGCACCGAACCCTTCTCCTGCCGTTGCACCGCACGTCGCACCACACTAGCTACCAAACCAGAGGCCGGACCACACTACCAACCAGAGAGATCCGCTTCCGACAACATCGATTTACCAATAATATATGCTTCTTCCGTTCACGAAATAATGTAATTATAAAAAACATGGCAGTCAAACTGGTTCAAGTTTGACCAAGTTTACCCTTATGTCTCTAAATAAATTTATTATAAAAATATATTCTAAAACTAATCTAATGATATTTATTTTATTTTATAAGTATTAATATTTTTTTTATATAACTTTAGTTAAAGTTTAAACTGCTTGACTCCTCGATACGTGATAATTGCGTTCTTTTATAAACGGATGGATTATAGTGAGCTTGAGGTTGTGCAAAAAAATGATAAATATAGAGCACCCAAAATAGTCGTCACTAAGGCCACTAATAGACTGTTAGCATATCCAGCGACATTCCAAATCACCCAAATTTTAAGTTGCCTATGCAATTTCTCATCATGGTCTTTGACTCGTACTATAATTTCTTTTAGGAATCACATTACATACGCAAACATTCAAACGTGCAGACGCACTCACTTTATCCTGATAGATGTGACGGTCAAAGGACTGTTAAATTCTGAAATAAGGGGGCGTTAAAATTTACGTCACATCGAATATTTAGGTATTAATAAAGAGTATTAAATATAGATTAATTAAAAAACCAATTACGTAGATAAAGGCTAATTTGCGAGACGATTTTTTAAAGCCTAATTAAGTTGTCGTTAGCACATGTTTACTGTAGCACCACATTATCAAATCATGGGCTAATTAGACTTAAAAGATTTGTCTCGCAAATTAATCGCAAGTTGTATAATTAGTTTTATAATTAATCTATACTTAATACTCCATATGTATCTAAATATTCGATGCGACAAGAATTTTAGGAGACCCTGTAGAAACCAACCAGGGTCTAGATACAGAAAAATACAATCACCCATACGTAAAGTCCAGGACTTGAATTTAAATCCAAACGAACAGAATCCACACCAAAACAGCTGATGTGCTGCGCTCAACTCGTGTCTTTTGACTCATATATACAAAACAGATCTAAGTGCATGTTTAGTTCTCAAAATTTTGTAATTTTTTTAAAGATTTTCCGTCACATCGAATCTTTGGACGTAGGCATGAAACATTAAATATAAATAAAAAATAAAACTAATTA